GAGGGAGGGAGGGAGGAAGGAGAAGAAGAAGAAGAAGAAGAAGAAGAAGAAGAAGAAGAAGAAGAAGAAGAAGAAGAAGAAGAAGAAGAAGAAGAAGAAATTTAAATATTGAAGAAGAGGAGGAGGAGGGGGAAGGAAGGAAGGAAGAAGAAGGAGGAGGAGGAGAAGAAGAAGAACAACAGCAACAACAACAGTAACAGTGGCCCAGGATGGAAACAACAAAACTCACAAACAAGAGGGAAGACATAACTTCCAGGAAATTGATTTCTTAATGAACTTAATAGAATGGAAAGTTAAATTTGAGTTTATTTCACATTGCAGAGGATTGGGGTATGCCTAGGATAATTCAGTTGAAACAGTTATTTTAGTGATAGCCCAGGCATTAAGGTACCTTCTCTACATTTTAGTAATGAAGCCAAATGGAGAGTTGTGTGTGAAGCCAGAACAGTTCTGTTTGCTTCATGTGTCCTCCTGTTCAGCTGGCTTCTTCTGACTTTGCTTTCCCTGGGCCTCAGAGCAGGCAGGTAGGCAGGCTGGCTGATAGACTGACTGTTTTATGACTTCAGCCTCCTCCCTCCCCTATGTCTGCTTTTTATATGTCCTTTGTCTTAATGACCATTCTATTGCTGTGAAGAGACACCATGACCAAGGCGATCTTATAAAGGAAACATATAATTGGGTGACTTACAGTTCAGAGGTTCAGTCCATTATGATAATGGTGGGACATGGCGACATGCAGACAGACATGGTGCTAGAGAGGTAGCTGAGAGTTCTATATCTTGCGCAGACAACAGGAAGTCAACTGTCTTCACTGGCCTGGCTTGAGCATTTATAAGACTTCAAAGCCCACCTCCACAGTAACACACTTCCTGCAACAAGACAGCACCTACTCCAACAAGGCCACATCTCCTGATAGTGCCACTCCCTTTGGGGGCCATTTTCTTTCAGCACACCACATCCTTATATAGTCATCTTTTGGTTCTCTTGAGAGAGTTATTTGAAGAGTGTCCCTATTGGGAAGGATTCTGCCAAGTCACTTGATAAGCTGCTGATCAAGCTTGAGACAATTGCCGTTGGCTCAGGGAATATCATGGAAGAGGGTAGAAAGATTGTAAGAGCCAGAGGACCAAGAAGTCTGCTGTGAGATTGTGTCTCCTAGAAATGACAAGGAGTGACACCCATGATACCTCAACAATACATAGTTTCCTAAACAAGACCTGAATGGTGGCAATGACAGTCGAGCTGCTCACAGGGAAAGGGTGTTGTCCCTAGGCAGAGAACCAGGTAACTAAGGAATGCTGAGAGTGGGAGAATCCGTGTTGTTCAGAGATGACCCCTATTGGTTGTCTAATACCGAGTGGTCAGCCCTGAAGTCATCTATAAGCAACACTAGATGAAATTAGCAAACCCTATTTTATATATTTATGCATATTTGTGTAACAACAATAATCAGAGAAAAAGTGGGCCATCAATTTGAGATGGAGTGGGGGATTATGGGAAAGGTTGGAGGGAGGAAAGGAAAGAGGGAAAAAATTTTTTTTTTAAATTTAAGGTAAATATTCACTTTAAAAAAAAAAATCTAACCTGTGCTAATGGTACTTACTAAAAGTATTATACTTGTACTGCTGTCTGTAATTCTAATTCCAAGGGATCTGGTGCCTTCTTCTGGCTTCTCTGGGCACCAGGCATACATGTGGGTACACATATATACATGCAGGCAAAACACTTCTTCACATAATTTTTTTAATAAGAAAATTGATTTTTTTAAGTGTCTTATTCATTTCAACTCCCAAACTGTTAAGAACTATCAGAGCTATCAGAAAGTCTAGTCTGTTAGTCTCAGAAAGCAACTTTAGTCTCTATCTGCTTGGTTTTGATGTGACACATTGGGGTCTTTTAAAGTTGGTATGTGAATATATGTGCACAGTTAGGGGTGTGCACACACTGCAGTGTGTGTGTGTAGGACAGAGGACAGCTTAGGTCAGTTCCAAGGATTAAACTCAGCTCACTAAACAAGGTGGCAAGGACCCTGTCTGCTGAGCCTTCTCACCAGCCTGCACACCACGGTTCATAGGGAAGGTAAGAAGTGCTATCACAGACTTTCTAGCAGCCCAACTGGCTGCCACATGGCATTTCTATTGCATCTCTATGGACCTGTACATGGGAGAATTCTTATTCTTCTGGATACTCACACAAAGTTTTCTAGATACCCAGAATAGTTCATCTCTAAGCAGTATATACCTTTCTTCAAGTCTTAAAGGCATTTCTCATGACTCAAAGTAATTGTTTCCCTTGTTTTGTATTTTCTAGGTTTGAAGAAAAGGCCCAGATGGACCCTCTTAGTGCTCTGAAGTATTTACAGAATGATCTTTATATAACTGTGGATCATTCAGACCCAGAAGAGACAAAAGAGGTAAAGAGGGGAGTAAAATTCAGAAGTGGAATATTCTTTTAAATGTTTTTCTAGTTTGAGTGCTTAAAGCAAATGAAGAAAATATCATGCTCTAATCTTGGATAATAAAAAGTCAACAGGCAGCCCTTGGTGGTGGCACATACCTTTAATCCCAAGAGGCAGAGGCAGGCAGACCTCTGTGGGTCCAAGGCCAGCTTGGTCTACAGATTGAGTTCCAGGGCTACACAGAGAAACCCTGACTCAAAAAACAAAACAAAACAAAAAGTGAACAGAGCCAGGTGTGGTGCTGAATGCCTGCACTCCAACATTAGGAATGTTGAGGCAAGAGGATCACTAATTAAAGGCTAACCTAAGTCACATAGTGTCTCATAATACCTTCCATCCAAGAGAAACAAGAAATAGAAGTTGAGCGGGCATATTTGATTCATTCAAAAAGAATTTTTAGGTATAAAACTTTAAATTAGACATTAGTACTGTATTTGTGGAGGAAAATTTAAGTTTAGTTTTTATAGATCAGCAAGGTTTATATACGGTGGTTCAGTGTGCACTTCTGTTGATGTTAGGATCTCTTAAGAGAGGAATAAAACTTCCCTTCTTTGTATGGAGAAAGTGGAGAGGGTGGTGGTTTGGAATACTTGCAGTGTTAGTTAGTAGTTACTTGTAAGCAGTATAACTTGACTATAGGCTACTAACCTCATTCACCTGATTCCTAAGCTTGAGAAATGAGTCTCAGGATTTTGTTCATGCAGAAGAAGCACGTGTTGCAGATCTCTGTTCTCATGGCACATGTGCCTGTGCAGTGTGTGAGTGTGTCTGCACTGGACCCTGCAGTCTCTCCTGGCCCTCGCTTGTGTCTGCGCTGCAGTCAGACGCCTTTCTCCTCCCAGCCGGTGCTGAAGGCTCGCAGCTCTGCCCCACACCCGTTCCTTGTTTGGAGCTGCCTCGCTTTGCCTTGGGGACTCAATATGGAACACTTTTCTCCCTTCTTGTTGACTCCCTCATGGGTTTGGATTTCCTGTCAGATTCTTTCCTGCACCAGGATCATTGTCTTTTTTTTTTTTTTTTGGTTTTTCAAGACAGGGTTTCTCTGGGTAGTTTTGGTGCGCCACTGCCACCACCCAGCTGGATCATTGTCTTTTCAAGGCAATAAAACCTGCATGTTTTCCACACCGAAACAGAGTGCTCTCTCATGGCCTACTATGAAAATATGTTTGGTCCTTCTCATTCAGTATTGGTTGTGGTTCTTCTTTAGGTATAGAATGAGCAGACTACAGTTCAGAGCCCTCTGTTTGGGGAACAAGAAGTTGTTTTTCTTTGAATGTTTACCTGATTCCTAATACCATTTGAAATGTGGGAAATTACTGTAGTTTTGCTGAGAAACTAGTAATCTGCCATGATTTATTACACCATGTAGTTATGAAAATACTCTAATGACATTTTGTTGTACCATGCATTAAGAATGCTAAATCAATTTCTCCATGTTCTATATAAAATGGCCATAACTGGACACACTTATTTTCCTCTTTTTTTTTAAAAAAAATAATAGATCCAAACAAAATGTCTCAGAGTAAATAGTGTCAGCTGTGGGAGCTGTAAGTAGGTCAAATAAAACAGTTTGTTCTTAGAGTTAATGGAAAAATCAGGACATGGAACTATTACAAGTTCAGATGTAGCTATTTTAAAGTATGGGTAGCTGGCTCTAATATTCTGTGAATCATACATTTTGTATGATATGGGTTTCCTTTGCATTTTCTAAAAGCTAAAATGCTTAGCCCTAGAAGTTAGTCAGATGGTATGTGCTTGTGACCATTAGAATCGTCTCTAAACTTCACAGACTGTACCCTCACCTTTTCTTCTTACTCATTTTTTGTTTTTCGAGACAGGGTTTCTCTGTGTAGCTTTGTGCCTGTCCTGAATCTCGCTCTGTAGCCCAGGCTGGCCTCAAACTCAGAGAGATTTCGCTTGCCTCTGCCTCCTGAGTGCTAGGATTAAAGGTGTGCACCACCACCGCCTGGCAGTAGTTTAACTTTTAAACTACTTTATAATCCAACAGTCTGAGTTGCTTCTTTTTTTTTTTTCTGTTTGTATGCTTTACACATTTTCTCATTATTTAAATTAATTTCTCAGTAACCAAAAGTATTTTATGTTTGAATAGATATGGAAATTATCATAATCTTCATCATTGTATTCTAACTAGTATTAGGACTGTGATAGTTACCTACCATTGTAAATCAAAACATGGTTCTTTGTTTTTTTCACGTTCTCAAATGTTGGTTCTGAATTGGGGGATGAAATTCTAATAAAATTTATAAAAAAATGAAATTGAGCCTATACTTTTGTAAAGAAAAAGTGTCCCTCAGGATCCTGTTTTTTGTTTGTTTGTTTGTTCAAACTAATAAAATATAGTAGTTCAGAAACAACCACCAAAGAACAAGAAACAAAAGCCCACAAAATAAAACGAAAATCATGAAAAGAAAGACAGGATCAGCTGGTAGTGAGAGAGGACCGAGAAAGGCTAGGTATACATACATTAAATACTACACATAGATGAAAATGCCATGGTGAAACCTGTTATGTGTAATTAATACATGCTAATAAAAGTGATGGTATTTTTTTTCTAGAAAAGGCTTGAGAAAAAAAGTACCAAACTCAAGCCTGCCATTTTCAGAAAAGATTATAATAGAGGAGTGGGGAAACAAGTTCTCAACTGGTAGACCACATTTTGTACTAATTATACGATTCTTTTATGTTTACAGAACATTGCTCTCATTCATTTAATAGCTGCGTATTGATTCCTTACGCTGCCAGGCATTCTTCATTTAGGAAATAAGTTTGTAAATGGAATGATCCCTGTTTAGAAGGTGCTAACATCCTATTAAGGGAGATAATAGACATAGTAAGTCAGCATAATTACCCAATTCGTTATGATTTGGTTAATAGTATAGAAGCTAATGTAATGTCCGAAAAGTAAAGGAACAGCATAGGGCCACACCTGAAGCCTCAGGCCTTGGAAGGTGAAGGCAGGAGGATATGCATTCCAGGATGTCCTCAGCAACACAGTGAGTTCAAGGACAGCCTGAGCTACCTAAGATCTTGGGTCAAAAAGCCAGTGGCAGGGGATTGCGCCTAAAGGAGATCATGATTTATAAGGGTAAGAATTGGGGCAGTTGAAGTCTTAAATGGGTTCATCATAATAGGCCTCAAAAGAAATCAGTTTTGCACACAGACTTGAAGAATATAAGGGAATTCTCTAAAGAGATGGTATAGTGGAGATAATTTTCTGACAGCTGGAACAGAGATGCTTGGGGGTATGGGAGCACTCTGGCATGGTTTAGCAGGATGGTAAGGAGCCCATGCTAACTGAAGTGGAGAAGAAAGAAGGATGGGGAAAGTGTGAAATGAGGCTAGAGAGGTGTACACAGCAGACTATATGTGTACTGGGAAAGCGGACTATGAATGGCTTCATAAACCTTAACTTTTACTTTGAATGATGAAGGATTCAGTTCCAGATATGGTGCATGGGAGTGATAAGATCTCTGTATTTAATACTGAGGAAAGAACAAAAGGGAACAAGGATAGAGCCAGGAAGACCCATGAGAGAAGTGGCAGAAATCTAATCCATACGCTGTGGTAGTTCAGATCACGGTAAGGTGGTAAGAAGGAAAAATAGAGTAGAGACTGAGTATACTTAAAGTAGAATGGACATATGATTGATAACTTAAATGTAGTTTAAAAGAAGTGAGTTGAAAGTTGCTTTTCTCTTGGATTCAGTGGGGGCTCCTGACTGAGATTAGGAGCCTAATTTTACATATGTCCAATTTGAAATGCCTGTGAGACAACCAGCTTGTGGTGTTTAGGTTGCAATTGGACATTTGAGAAACTTGGGGAAGAGGACTGAAATACAATTTGGTATCTATTAAAATTATGTTATAGTATATATCAGTTCAACTTTGTCAATTTGCTAAAAGAACAGATTTCTCTTAAATTTCTCCATAAGGAATCAGTGTTTATTTTTTATTTTAGGAGTTAGAAAAAGAAAAAGAAAAATTCAAGATAAAATAGAACATTAGTGAAATAGGAAATATTCTATAGAAAATAAATAAAGTATAATGGTTCTTTGAAAAAGTAAATAAAATAGATAACCTCTTATCAAGATTCGTGAAGAGAAAAATGAAAACATAAACTGTCAACATCACATGTGTCTTACTTAGGATTTTTATTGTTGTGAAGAGACACCATGACCACAGCAACTCTGACAAAGAAAACATTTAATTGGGGTGGCTTGTTTACAGTTTCAGAGGTTCAGTCCATTATCATCATGATGGGGAGCATGGCAGCGTGCAGGCAGACACATTGTTAGAGCTGAGAGCCTACATCTTGCAGGCAACAGGAAGTCAACTGCTTGTCACACTGAGGGAAGCTTGACAAAAAGACCTCAAAGCCCACCCCTACCGTGACACACTTCCTCCAACAAGGCCACACTCCCAATAGTGCCACTCCCTTTGGGGGGCATTTTCTTTACAACCAGCACAGCATGAAAAAGGAAAGTCACTAGAACCCCAGCAATATGAAAAGAGTAACAGAAAGATACAATAAAAACCTTACCAGCACATTGAGGAGCTTAATGTAATGGACAGAAGAGTCCTTAAAAGATGTAATATACCAAAATTGACTTAAGAAGAAATGAGAGATCTTTAAAAAATTTTTTTTATTTATATTTTATGAGTGTTCTATTTGTATACCTGCATACCAGAAGAGGGTATCAGATCCTATTATAGATAGTTATGAGCCACCATGTGGTTGCTGGGAATTGAACTCAGGACCTCTGGAAGAGCAACCAGTGCTCTTAACCCCTGAGTCGTCTGTCCAGCACCCAAAATAAGATATCTTAAAGAATCCCATATTTACTACATAGTTGAGTTTGTAACTAAAAATGTTTCAGCAATTACTCTAACTCCAGTGTCATAATTCTATTAATCATTTAAGAAACAAACTCTCAGAAATCATATGAATTCCTGGATGTTTGTATGAATCCATTGTAATTCTGCTGTGAGAGGTAACCAAAGATATTATGAGCAAATATATATAGACGACTACTGGGGAGATTACTACCAGCAGTTAATAGCACTGACTGCTCTTCCAGAGTACCTGGGTTCAATTCCCAACACCCACATGGTGGCTCACAACCATATGTAACTCCAGTTCCAGGGTATCCAACATTCTCTTCTGGTCTCCATTGGCATCAGGTACTCACATAGTACACATATTGGCATATAACCAAAACATCCATACACATAAAATAGTAAAATAATAATAATAATAATAATAATAATAATAATAATAATAATTTTTTTTTTTTTGGTTTTTTGAGACAGGTTTTCTCTGTGTAGCTTTGCGCCTTTCCTGGGACTCACTTGGTAGCCCAGGCTGGCCTCGAACTCACAGAGATCCGCCTGCCTCTGCCTCCCGAGTGCTAGGATTAAAGGCGTGCACCACCACCGCCCAGCTAATAATAATAATTTTTAAAAAGATAGATTAAGTCTAGAATATTTGTCCCACTTCAGACTTCTAAAAGACAATTGGGCCTTATAAAATATTAGTATGTAAACATTATCTGAAAATTAAAGACATCCAAGGAAGTTGAGATAGGAATATGAGTTCAAGGCTAGTCTGGGCTACACAGTGAAAACTTTGTTTCAAAAAATAAAAAGGAAAAATCAGCATGTTATTGTTTTCTTTTAATCTAAATGGTGCTGGCGGGGGCTGGGGGTTGTTGCCAACATTTGGTGATTGGATCTGTGTAATGAATGCATAAAAACAGAGGTTATAGCAAATGAAAAGTCACAAAGCTATTTTTCTTAAGTGTGGTAACCTAATTTGCATTTGTATTTCTTTACAGTTTCAACTCTTAGCCTCAGCTCTGTTCAAATCTGGCTCAGATTTCACAGCTCTAGGTAAGTGTGCTAGCAGTTTATCTTGTACTAACATTTGTTTGGATTTCGGTGTCTTATGTGGAACATTAGGTGAGGTACATTCAAACAAGTGTATGCGGTTTCTGATAGTTGTTAAAAGATTACTTCTCAGGCATCATCTACCCGTTCCTGCCTGCAGTGTTCAGTTCATATGCCTCTTGATGCAGGTCAACGGCAGCAGAATTACGGTCAGATAAACTGAATCAACCCTTGAGGAGTGGGCTGTTTTCTCTTTGTTGTTGTTCGGGGAGTGGTGTGGTGTCAGGAGTTGGTAAATGGGGAGGGGAATGAAATGTTTTGAAAGTAAATAAATATCTTTCTTTAGAAATGAAAATTGTTAATTGTTGATAAATTAACTCCTCGACTTCCTTTAAGATTTTTTTCCCCTCAAACTTCTCAGATATGGATATTAGTCTTCATTAAGAAGTATTCTTATTTAGTATTAATAAATTACTTGAAAAAAATGTGGTGCTAGGAATTGAATGGTATTAATGGATGATTAAAGTAACTAAAGTTGTAGAACTCCAATAGCATAAGAAATGATCACAAGAACTGAAAATTGATTACATGAAATAGCCTTTGCATAGTAAAATACTATCCACATAGTAAACTGAAAATCTTTACCAGCTGTACTTTAGGCAACTAGAATATATAAAGGACTGGTACACATGCACAAAAGCCTAAATGAATGAATTAATCATGCTAATCAGTAATGGGGCCAATGTACTAAACACACAGTTCTCAAAAGAAGAGATACAAATGGCCCATAAATGTTTTTAAAAGATCTCAATATAGTTAGCATCAGAACAGTGCAAACTAGAGCTACTTGGAGACTCCATTTCACTGCAGTCTTAAGAATGGCTGTCCTCAGGGTTGTTGAAAACAAACTCTGGCAAAGGAGATCTTTTTCAGTATTGATTCAGTATTGGCGGGGTGTAAACTGGTGCAGCAATTGTGGAAACCAGTGTGGAGGCTTCTCAAAAGCTAAATATAGAACTATACTATTACTCATATGTATCATTCTGGACATGTACTCAGAGGACTCTGTATCCCACCACAGAAAGACGTGCACATCCTTTTTCATTGCTGATCTGTTTGCAGGGAAATGGAACCACCTTAAATGTCTATGAATAGGTAATTGTTACCAGCTCCAGAATTATAGTAAGAATGCAGCTGAATATGGTAAAGCTATACCTGGAAAAAAATCAAGGCATTCTTCCAGAGGAACCCAAATCTCAAGGAGTATTTGGTGTTACTCGGTTTTTAATGTGTGAACTGTTTCCTGCTATGAATTTCATGTGTGCTCTTAACTTCCCCAAGAACAGTTTATTTTACCCGAAATTATTCTCAAGCATCCTAGGCCTAGGAGACAGGTGAACTTAGGTGCATAGCTTTGTTTCTTGTGCAGATGAAGCTCAGACCCTCCTTTCTCTCACAGCCCAAATGGCATTCCAGAGCAATTGACTCAGAACAGAAGGGTTTTTTTGCATACCAGGTACAGTGTAGCTATGAGGCAGGTTTCCTAGCTCGGAGCAGAGTTACTCCACCCTGCCAGTACATGGCAACATAGAAACAGAGAGGCAGTTACATTTTAGTGACTCACAAACTCTTACCTACCCACCTGTAAGATTGCAGTTTGAGCACATTTATGATAGACCCATAACGTTTCACCTAACCATTCATAAGAATGTATTTTGAGTGCATAAATTCCCTTTCTGACTTATTTCAGGCCTTATTTAACCACACCTCTTTTATTCACTCCCCTTTCATGTTGCAAATGAAGCTGGCTATCACTGCTCTTGTGGGGACCTTGGAAGCCTAGCATTGTATTCTAAGAGTCAGGCTGCTGGTAGGTCTGCGACTGGTTGTGGGAACAGAAGGGGAAGGAACCAAGTTAGAGAGAAATGAAGATGAAGATGAGGTCGAGGCAAAAGAGAAGGGACAGAGAGGAGCTAAGTTTAAGAACAGAAAAGACTCGGACTCCGAGAGACAAGTACTGTTTATCATGCACATATCCTGGCTTTCCAATTCCATGTGTGTTTATTATGGGGGAGTGGGTGTGGGGAGAGGCCAGAACACTAAAAGAGCTGTGAGAGGAGGAACAGGGGTGGGGAGTAAGAGAACACACTCAATGTAAAAGTTGGAGGGGAAATTCTGGGGACATGGGCAAGAAGATGCGCGAGAGGAGTGACCATCACCTAAAGCTAAGAATGTATGAAAACACCCTGAGGAAACCTGTACTTTCCATGCTGATTTAAACATTAAGTTAACATATGCACGCACGCACGCACGCACGCACAGAGCAGCTAAACTAGGCTATCATAAAAATAAGTCTGCTAAGTCTGTAATAGAAGTTCCAGGACCCAGAGCTTTATCTGGTGAATTTTCAAGGATATTTTTGTTAGAACAATTCATGATAGGTAGCTTCAGTCTTTTGCCAGCATTATACTTTTTAAGTTCTACACTGGGCTTGGACTCAATGATTCTTTGGCCTCAAAGAGTAATCTTTGAAACATGAGAAACTCTAGTTCTGAACTTGGCATTGTGAAATGTAATTTTACATGAGTACACACTAACCCTGTTGATGCCAGTGCTGTTAGTATTTGCCCAAGAGTTGTACAACAGTGTGCATAATATAAATATTGCTCTCTTATTTGGAATCAAATGAGCCCTTGGTGGTACTGGTTTACTTTCTTCATTGTTTGTCCTTTTGTCTGCTAAAGAGGAGTGATTCTTGGAAGAAAAAACAAACATAAATTGTGTGATTCTGGTGCTATTCCCTGGGATGGGAAAGAACAGCAATGTTCCTTGGGATTTTTTGCCTTCCCTTTTCTATAACAAGTAACTGAGGCTTCTTTAAGGATTTAGGCAACTCTGGTCTTCATTTCTTGAGATCGTTGTGGTAAGACAGGAAACAGAAAGGAAAGAACAGAAAACCAGCAGTCCTTAATTCCCAAGTACACTGGACTCCACTGGGTAGATTAGCAGGCACAAGCATTCCAGTGGACATGTCTTTAGGGTGCAAACCTTGCAGCCCTGTCCTGATAAATGGAGTAACTAGGTACAAACACTGCTAGAAAGCTCATGCCTTTCAGAATTTTATCCTTTGAAGCAGACAGTGATAAACAGATTGTGAGCCTGCCATCAGTGTAAAAGAGTTTGCGCCTTAATGTGTCCAGATACCACCACCCAGAGCCATTGTTTTACTTACTGGTGGGCAACACTAACCTGTCTTGGCTAATGTTTAGCCATTAAAACAAGAATTTCTTGACAGTGATTAAATAGTTTAAGACTATGTCAGCAAATATTTTACCACTTAGCTTAATTCCTTTCTCCTGTCTCTTCCCTGCTCTCTGTCAGAGGACTTACTTTGTCAAGAACAACTTGTTTCCTGGGGTATAAACAAAGCTGACTCCTGGTAGATCCTCATGTCTTTAGAGCAGTCATTGTCTTCAGTCCTGGTTAGTACAGCACAGCAGAAGAGAGAGGAACATGAGGGGTGACATCAGTACCACCTTTCTCTGCAGCCACTGTGATGCCAGTCTTAGTGTTGGATCAGGGGGTGTCCTGGATCCTGCCCCTTTTACATATATCGAAACAAACAGGCAAACAAACGTTACTCAGATGAAGCAAAGTTTCTCCTCACACAACTTCCCAGTCTGCTCTACCCGGTGTGTCTTTACCCAACACTGCCTTGTAAGGAGACATGTTGATATAATTGATTCTGATTATTCAGATAATTATGTTTTATAACCACAGGGACAGTTAGTGAAGGTGAATCACTGCTCTTATGGGAAACTCGGAGAATTAAGTTTCTGTGAGCCCCTCCAATAGATCATTGCATAATATTGATTCTTGGGTATTTCTATTTAATGCCTCCTTATTTAATACATTATTTATTCATTCACATTGAACTCCTGGTCAGGAGGACCAAAGTCCCTACCTGAATGAAGCTTGTTTAGCCTGTTGTCTCTGAAAGCCATGTCACAGCTTCTTACTCTCAGAAACACTAGATTGCAGTTCCAGGCCACTTTAAATGGTGGGGTCACCATCAAACAGCACAGAATTTGAAAAATGTGGCTCCAAACAGAACATGAAATAACAGCTATATGATACGAGACCTAAAACAAGAAGACAGACTTGACTGGAGATGTGCTTCTGGCAACTCAAATATTCTGCCATTCTGCACTTGTTTATAAATAATCACAATAGTGCCCCAAGTCTTGATTGTGTGATTACAAATACATTTCAGTGATGAGGTGACTTTGTAAATATAGACTCTTTAATCAAGATTTTATATTAATATGCATATATAAGCATATGGTTTTGAATATGCTGCTTTTGTTACATAGTGTAAAAACATACTATACAGCATATTTTATTTAATTGTGTGGCTTTGAAATGTTTTTATGAAACTGTGCTATATCTGCTAGGTCCTTACAAAAGAATTCTAAGGACCCTCTGTAGTCCGATGGTAGTGTAAGTTTTGATTTCCTTATTAGTGATCAAAGTGAAGATACTTTTGAGGACTAGATGAGCATAACGTATTGTCCTACACACTCAGTTAAATGCAGTAAGACTAAGTAGATAGACTTTAGAGTCTCCTCACCCACTGTCTGTGAGACCTTATTAAACTGCTAACTCTCTTAACTGATTCTAAGGGGGGAGTTTATATGTCCAGGCCTAGAAATGATATGTTGACAGTTAGTGTAACTGACTTTGGATTTCTTAAATAATTTGCTACTACAAAGAATTATGCCTTTTTGGAAAAAATGATTGACTTCAGAGCTGTATAAGAATGAGTTTGAAATCTTATTGTATGGGAAAGTAAAGAAATGCTCAAAAATTGGTGGGTATATTTCTCACTGGTTAAATCTGAGATGATGTGAATATCAAAGTGAATGGTGACAAAAGATGAGTTTAACATTGAAAATAAGAGAAAAGTTCAGGAGTACATACTGATTCCAACAAATAAATTTAAAAAGAAAGATAAAAGAAGATCTTTATAGTTGGGCATAGTGGCGTACACCTTTAATCCCAGCACTTGGGAAGCAGAAGGCAGGTGGATCTCTGTGAGTTCAAGGCCAGCCTGGTCTACAAAGTGAGTTCCAAGACATCCAGGGATACATAGTAAAACCTTGTCTTGAAAAAAAGCAAAAAGGAGAGAGAGATCTTTATAACAGAATTCCAGTTAGCAACTATAGAAGGGATCACAATTAGAAAAATCACAATGGTTTATATAATTGCTCTTTCAGTAAGAACCACCAGTGACTACTGATCACTGGGTTTTGGTGTTTTGAGAAACAAGGTGTTTATGCAATGTCGAACAATTTTCCCATTAGCAGTTATTAATTTCAGAAATAGGAATAAAACTTTAGCAGAGAAATTGGGCATAGGCTGAGTTAACCTTATGACCAAAGTTAATACCACTGATAGCGGTCCAAACTGATAAGCATGTGCTTTCTGAGATGATGCACTGAGAAGGACACAGTATCACTTCTTTCGTATTCTACCAAGGACCGCGTAAACCAGTGTCTATCATAGAGCCGTCAAGACAAACCCAAATTTAACACACACTATACAACTTTTCTATGTACTTCAAAAATAATCTGTGCCATTAGAAAATGAAGAAGTGCAGATTTGATTCAGATCAAAGAGACTTCAAAGCCAAATAGAGTGTGATCTCAGGTCAGATTTTTGCTTAGGAATAAATGAACAATAAAAAGATTATTAAAACTTTTATTTAAGTTTCCCAAATTTAATATAGAGCGAGCATTAAGATGTAGCTCAGTGGCAAAACACTTACCATGTGCAAGGTCCTAGCTTCATTCCTCAACTCCACAGGCGATGGTATGTGTAGAGTGGGGCGGGCATGGAAGAGGAAGGGGATGGTGGGCCATAGGAGTGGGTGTTCTGTTCTTAGTTGAAATGGGTTCAGTAATTCCAGAGTGAGGGTGTACAAAACCCACAGGTGCTTCCACAAAAAGATGATGAGTTGGGCATGTCTGTGTCCACAATAAGGACACGTCAGGCAAGACATCATGTCATAATAAGGACATGTCAGGCAGACTCATCAAAGTGAAGGTCCTGGATAAATAGTCATTGGACTTCGGAAACCTCTGTGTGTTTGCAGGGTTTGAAAGTAAAGCAATTGGAAAAATTCAGAGAAGCATAAGAAAGAGAAGGGTTATAATCTCACCTTCACAATAAACTTTGTTAGTATTTTGCAGTATTTCCTTCTATTCATGTCTATGATATGATAGTAAGCTTTGTTAAGCTAAGCTCAAAGGAAGAAACATTTCCCCCTGCAAACTTAAAAATACCAATAATAATAATTTTTTAAAATAAAAAGGAATGAACTATTCTCAAGGCATTGTTTATTTCCTTCCAGGATGCTGGTAACCTTGACAATGTTATGTTCTATTTCTATTCTTTACAAGATTAAAACAATTTGGATCTAAACTGTTGAGTGGAATCAGTCCAATTTGTGTTTTCTCTGAACTGTCACAGCCATGGTCCTTTTTCTAATGGTCCCAGCTAGCCATTCAGTAATAGGAAAATCATTTATCATATAAGCATTTAATTTGTATGTTAGAAGTCTGGAGCAACTGAGATCAGTATACAAACTTACCCAAATGGGGCATTGGTTGGTGTGAACTTAAAAATTAAATGTTGCTAGATATAAATGGAGAGAAGAATCCTTTATATTAATAAACTCTCTTTTAAAAACATCTATTACTCTGTGGTATTTATTTGCATAAAAGTGCTTAGTTACTCTCATTAAATATGGAACCTGTTACACAGCACCATAATAATGGCATTTAAGGTACCTTATGAGCTATAGTACTTGGATTTCTTTCTCTTGGTTGTCTGTATTTTCACCCAGTCCTCTGGCAGTACTTCCACCTCTAAACACCTTGCTGTTTTTAGCCCGTTTTCCTGAAGATCTCTTCATTGTGATTTTTGTTATATTTTATTACCAAAAACATTACTGGGACAGAGCACTGAAGAGATAGAGGAGTGGAATTTCCTTAATTAGTAGTAGAGTAATAATTTAGCAAAGGAGAGATGAGAAATCAGTATTAATTACTGAAGTAACAATCTTTCTGCTAGGTGTTGTAGTTGCATTTAATCTGTACAGATGTCTCAAGTAAACAGGGTTTCACAGATGTACATCTGTGAGGAAATGGGTGCTGGACACCAAGGAGGCTGATAATGCCTAGTCGAAACTGCTACATCTACCCCCAGGGCAGTGGTTCTCAACCTGTGGGTCATAACCCTTTCACAGAGTTTGCCTACAACCATCAGAAAACACAGATGTTTACATCACATTTCATAACAGTAGCAAAATTATAGTTATGAAGTAGCAATGAAGTAATTTTATGATTGGGGGTCACCACACCATGAGAAACTATTAAAGGGTCATAGCATTTGGAAGGTTGAGAACCACTGTTCGGCATGTTGTGAGCTGGTAGAGCCAGGATCACGTTGGTAGAGTTTAGCTAGTCTTGAAGCCTGTCTTGATTTTAATTTTTCCCATTGTGCATGATGCTGGTCACATTAACTTTTCTGTTTTGTTTTGAATTTTTGAAATAATATATAAATTTGTTTTCTTTTCTTCACCAGGCTTTTCAGATGTGGATCACACCTATGCTCAAAGAACTCAGCTCTTTGACACCCTAGTAAATTTCTTTCCCGACAGCATGACTCCTCCTAAAGGCAATCTGGTAGACCTCATCACACTGTAAACTGGGGAGTCAAGTTGAGGAATTGCTAGGCTCAGAAGTGGAGACTGGAGTCGGAGTTCCGAGTTTGTCTGGGCAGAGGTGACGTCGCAGTAATTGAGGACTGCATCAGAGTTTTGAAGGATCCTTATTATCACAAGTTTTAACCCTCTCCTTCGTACCTGACCTCAGTCCCCTTTTCCTCATATTCCTGCAGTAGGCTAATAAAGTGAAATTGATATACTTCCCATTTAATTATGCATATCTTTCTTTAGCTTTTAAGAATTAACAAGTGTTAATGAAAATGACACTTTTCTGTGTTCCAGTTTTTCCAAGTTTATTTTTAGTTAGGAGAGCAGCACTCGCAGTGGACTGACTCAGTGCTGCAGGAGTCGGGTTGCTGTTGGGTTGTTGGCCGTTGTGCCCTGGTCTCCTCTCTTTCCCTCTTGCTTTCCTCACATCACAACTGTTGTAAGTGTGCCACTGGCTTCCTTCGTCATTCTTAACAGGTGTGTTTCTGTGGGACAGTTGCTGCATGTGAAGCTGCTATGTGGAACTGTTGACTTTTCTTGTATTATATTAGACAATAGAGAGGTTAGAGGGTTTCAGTTTATACTTTCTGCCATAAAACCAAAAAGCAAAACTCAAGATTGACCCAGACTCCCGATCAGAGTTGGCATTTCTGAATTGATCTTTTGTAGTGGCTATGACAGTAGCCATTGGCTTCGAATCACCAAAACCTGAAACCAAGGCTGTCATCCCGAAACTTTAAGAGGTTCCCCAGATGACCAGCGGGAGAGGCCCTGTCCTGATGGCTTTTTCACTGGTAGCTTTGTAGGAATTTGTATAACTGGTAGAGTTATACAGAACCAGTGCTCACATTCTGCTCAGAGTTCTCTTTTTGTTGCAGTTTTATCTGGGGAAGTGGGTTCCAGAGCTGTGCTTTCATTTTTTTTTTTTCTGATATGTTTCCCTGCTGTCTTGAAGAGTAATTGTTTGTGGTTGTCCTTTGGCATACAGCTGACAGGCGTTTCAGTAAGCATGTGGACCAGGCTTTTTTAAATAGACAAAAGGAAAAAAATACTAGGTTTTCCACTAGACAGAAAAGTACAACAAATTGTTCCATTCTTGTGTATGCAGGAACAGAGGAGCATACCTTCCTATTAGGTGTTGTGGAATGTTGCATGAGAAACCTGCATCTGGCTAGTTAGTGTTCACATTGCTGAAAGTGTGCCATCTGCAGCTGGTAACCCACCGTGTTGAAAGCAGAACCTATAATATCCACATGCCAACTGTTAAGAGTGAGTGACTATGAAATTGACCTGTACTTTCAAAAAGTGTCTGTATAGGAATGAGACTTTGATATGTCTTTTTCCTCTGTCTTTACTTCATGGTTTTACTTTTGAGGATGAATGGGAGTATTTTTTGCCAATTGAGATGAACAGGAATGTATTTTTGCTGGTCGTAGGATTGAATCATGGCTTTTTAGCTTTACAAGCATCCCAAAGCAATCAGTAGTAATTTATTAAACATGTAAGTCAATACCTTATCTTGTGAAAAATATGATGTATAGTTTATGAGGTATCAAATTGTATAAATACAGAATAATCAGTTAACTGTACATTTGAGTGATAGTCAAAGACTTATAATTTCTTCAAGTGATTCTCCTGAGTAACAGCCAAGAGCATAAACTGTATCACTAATAGTGTGGCCTGATGGATCTCATTTTTCAAAGACAGATACAAATCAGTAGTTGACAAAGGAACCTGAACTGGAAGTTGCCAAAATATAAGAGCTGTAGCTGAGCATCTTGACAATACAACCAAATGGAATTCTGCTACCTGCCACCTTTTCGTATGCATGTTCTCCCCCACTCCCCACCCCACCCCCGAGTTTTTCCCATCAGTTCCTCAGACTCTATTATTTGGATGAAATTCATTTCTTGACCTCAGTGATTCTTTTTTTCCTCGTAACTGCTTGTTTCTGTTTCTATCATGCCTGCTTTAATTCCATCTCTCCTCACTTTTATTTAGTTTGAGTTTTTAATTTTCATGACCATGTTTAAGTGGTTGAGTCCTAAGAAAGCACTGAGTGTTGCCTGAGATCTCTCACTGACTGAGGAGATAACTGACAGGGCTGGCTAGATCAGGTAGAATCTGTGCCTTGGGGCTAAGTGGGGACACTCCAGTGACAGCTTCAGAAAGTGTGGGCCTTTCTGGGTCTGGGACCAAGACTGACATGTTGCTCACAACATTGCATATCAGAACCCATATGAGAAATTGTACAGATATTTATTTACTAAGGAGCAACAGCAGAAGATTATAATTTATACAATAAAGTTAGTATTGAAGTAACCAAATACATGTGCTTTACTACTTCAAGTTTCATGTTCTAGCTTAGTCCCAAATTAAAACACGTAGCTTTAGATGCGTTAGTGGGAAACTGTTCCCTTGACTTAATCCCCGGTTTCAGCCTCACCTCCATCTCCTCCTTTCCAGCAGAATATGTGGCTTTCAATCAGAAATTAGCTGTAGATACCTGATGCTACTTTCACCCTTGTATTCCGTAAGAATTTGAACTGCAAGTCACTTGACAGTGCGTTTGCGTTTTATTTATGAAATAGTAGGAGAGCTAACTTGGCCACCAGCTTGTTGGATTCAGTTATGTCGTGTTTTTTACACACAAAGAGTCATTTAGAATTGGATTCCCACCTCTGTGTCGTTAAAGCTGACATACAGTGTTAACCTTTATCAAAGTCACATTTTTTGATACGGTTTCCATTTCTACTAAAACTGCCCATTCTGTGTCCAGAGAGTAAAAAGAGAAAGCATTGGGAATGAAGTCATTGGCTTGTTGTAGAAAAGTGTGTAGGTTTAAAGTCAGTGCTGTGTTTGTTTATAAAGCTGTATTGAGTGCAGTGTGTGCTCTGTGTGTGAGTGCTGGCCACTTGTCACTCCGCTGGCTCTCCACATCTGCCTTAAAAGTGTTTCACAGAAGTCCACAGTAACAGCTTCACAGGACAAAGTAGGCTTAAAATCCATACAGATAAAAGCTAGCTGAGGATCTTCACCATTTAGTGAGAGATCGAGATTGTTGTTTAATAAGTCAAAAAGCACTTAAAAGAGTGTTCCTGATTGCTAATCTCAGAGTTAAATTTCATGGTAATTATATATATAAAGGAATTAATTATTTTGTCTTGTTGGATAATTGTGAGTCATTTATTTCCTGAGTGAAACAAGTGTGAAATCCTTAGCTGACTATTTTATGACCATTGGGAATTCTGGTTTGATAGTGTGCACTGTAGACAAAGTCACAAAGCTCTTTAAAAATGCCCTTCCTAACACTTGCTTTTTTAAAAAACCTTGCTCATCTACAGTCTCATCCCTTTGCAGAAATTCTTGCTTGAATTTTCACCAAGTTTTAGCTAGTCTGTGGTTTAGGATGTGCAGGCTCTACAAGAAAAAAAAAAAAATCTCTAGTTGCTGGAGATATGTCATAGAGGTCTGTATATGACAATATTTACAAATTAAGTCGTTGGGCTCTTTAATGCAATTTTTGTTTTCTGTATTAGGCAAATAATACTAATTTTTATATGTGGTTTTTGACTGTGGGTTTAGTCTCTGTAATTTGTCTTAATGTTAAAATGGCTTGGCTATCCAAAGCTTCTAGTATATGTCAGGTATATATTATATAAAATCTTCTCTATATAGGTGTGTCAGTTGAAGGTCAGAGTTTCCACATTTGTTGAAATTACATGGAGCTGACCAGTACAAATGACTGACATGAATAGTTTGCTCATTTGTGGGGTGGAGTTATTGCAGTCTATTGATTTCATCACCAGTGCTCTTGTTTTCTTAATAAACACTATCTCAGATTTTATTTTTAGATGACTTTTTAACCGTAAATTCATTTTACTCACCAATTACTGTGAATTGTGTTTTCATTTCTTTTCCTTGGCTAATTTAACTTTATTCATTACTTCTCGGATTTTTTTCTATGGCACTGTTTAGAACTATTGTATTGCTTTTTAAAAAAAGTCAAATTATTGTAAATCATACATACTTCTGTTTATGATAAGAGAATAATGAGATTAAAAATGTATATTGGTAAAGAAGTAATAACATTTAGATATTGCTATAAAATGCGTGTGCCATTTTCATTTGGGGCTAGTGATCGTTTCAATGGCAGCTTCCACTGAGAAACGTGGTCTGGCTGCTTTTCCTGGTACCAGGGACAGTTGTCATAGAACTGTTGGCAGAGTCCAGGTTCTGAGAGAGAGCTAGCTCATGGAGACCAATGTGCCACCACACTCTACATCTGCTGTCACCCCCCTTTATGTTGTATTTTTACCCGACTTTTTTTCTGCTTCTATCTCCATCAGTAGCATTGATTTTCTGTTGAAGCTGAAATTTGTGCTAATCATTGGCTTTTAGTGTTGTGGTACATACCTTTCATCCCAGCATTTGGGAGACAGAAGCAAAAAGATATCTTTGTGAGTTCTAGGCCAGTCTATCTACATAATGAGTTCCAGGCCAGCTGGAGCTGCATAATGAGACCCGGCCCCAAGGTTTGGGGGTGGGGCTAATTCCTGATACAGTTTGAATATTATAAATGGCTTTTATTACCACTAAATCATTGATATTCCTTATTTTCTTAAATAAACATAATATAGTGATGCAAATATCTTTTCCGATAAAGACCATGAATTTAGGGTAGGTAAGATGGCTCAGAACGTAAAGAGGTGTTCTCTAGGACACACATGATAGACGTAGAGAACTGTTTCCCACAGTTGACTCTGACCTCCACACATGCACATGCATACAAAATAAATGAATAAGTAAATGAAATTTTTAAAAATTGTAAAAGTATGAACTTACATTCAATTCCAAGGGACTCACTTGCTTTCTCAGTCATGAAGCTAGTGACAAAATTTCCGACAGTAACATCTGTAGTCTCTAAGCTAGGGAGTCCTTAGACAGTACGGTGAGCTAGACTTTCCAGTAGTCCGAGAGAAATACCTTCCTGGAAAATTCCTGTTACTCTCTTTTTCTAAAGCCACTGATCTTGAATTGGAGTCCAGTTCACACACAGAAAACAAAGGATGGTTCTAATTTCTCTTCTGCATTCCAGCTGTTTGTAAGTCAGATCTGCAACTGTGCAGTCTTGTCCCCCAACACTGGCAGGCTTGCTTGGAAACAGGTCTGTGTGGATGCTGTCTAACGGCTATGGAATCAGCAACAGGAAAGGATGCAGTG